AATCTCCTCTGGTTTTTCAGAATGTGACCCCCTCTGGATGACTAGGGAGGGTGCCCTGGAGGCTCTTTCCCAGAATGAGGATGTCCCTAGGTGAGCAGAAAAGAGCTTTTAGTGGCACTAAAGAGTCACCCCAGAAAAGACCTTTTGCCCGGTCGTCCCAATCACACACATGCTCAGTGGCACACACTATATACTCAAGTGAAAAAGACAGAAAAGAAGCAGCAACAAAAACAACTCCATCAGTTTACCAAGGGTTCCCCAGAAAACAACACACACCGTCAGAGCCTGTGCCCACATTAGGAACTAGTGAGTATCGTGTTTATTAGAAATAGTCTCTTCTTTATTTCCACTTCTGTATAAAAAGTTTTGATGTATTTGGGCTGGTATTAGAAAAGCCATAGTAATATAAAGAGAATTATGGGAAGTTAGAAAAAAAAGGTAATGTTTTTAGTGTTTGAGAAAGCAGTTGTGAGATTCCTTCTTCAGCTTAATTATCCAAGCGGTCGAAACTCTGGGTCTGGAACTCCTGGAAGTCCTCTGGTATGGTGTCTGCAACAAGAATGGGCGGTGGTCAGTGAGGGGCCATCTACCCTGCAATCACGGCCCACCGCACACTGCACAGGCCTCCTGTAGGGGGCACTGTCAGCTCGCCCAAGAATCCCTCAGGCTTGCAGGCATTTTCTACTTCAGGCAGCCTTTGTTGCACATTGCTGGCTTACAGCCCAGCAGTGCTTATTCATAGGCCTGAGGAAAATTAGCCAGCAGAGTGCCTTTTCAGTCTATGATTATGTTTGAGCCTTATGAAAAGAAAGGCTGCCTGTAAATTAAACTGAATAAATTTTGCACCGAACCCCTAACTCTAAACCATGCAGTTAAATTCTATGGGTTTCAATTTTCACATTTGGGAAACAGGAAAGCCTGGCTCTGCCTTTCGCTTATGCTATTCGGGGAACATCAGGTTTCAATGAGTGCTTGGTGTGTGCTGTGGGGAAGGATGTGTGCTACAGAATTAAGATGCAGCTCTCTCTGGGTCACTCCCAGTGGTGCTGAGAGGAGATAAGCATGAAGGTTACCATTGCAGCGGTACTTGAGGTTGGACCAGATGATGTTTTCTTGAGAGAAGCAGAACACACCGAGCCGACCTCCACGCATGGTGGTATCTATGGTGACCCCAGAGTCAGCCACCAACTCCGAGCCTTCGTAAAACCGCACCCTGCAGACAGCACAGACGCCCATGGTGAGGACTGGGTTCCACTGATCACTTACATACTTTCCTCTTTATTCAGACATGTTTCCCACGGATGCTTGCTGGTTACCCCCAACTGAGATTAGTAGTCCCCTGGATAGGAACCAAGTGTCCATGTCCCCCTAACTTGTCTCCAACAGGCCCAGCACAATGTCAGGTGCACAGTAACATTGATAGCTGCTTCTTGGTGTGTTAAAAAGAAATAGCTGATATCAAAGATAAGAGGTTTTGTGGCTTTACTGTCTTGTGACTTATGTCTGTTTTTTCCTCAGTTCTAGCTGATTTCACTGTGTGGATCTTCAGAGCCTCAATTCTCACTGAGACAGCACCCCATAAGCAGTTTTAGGCAGGTGTGGGGGTGATTTCAGTTGTCATAGTAGCACTGAGTGACAGAAGCCCCTCCATATCTTAAAATATCCCAGAGTGGATAGCCAAAGCTTGTCCTGCACTCCATACCCTTGTAGAGTGTTCCCTGACAGGTGGGGAGGTGTGGAGCCTGTCACTGAGCTGGGTCTGGGAGAGGGAACTGTGTTTTACCTCTGAGTATCAGGCTCTTCTACACTGACTTCAAGTTACATTCATTTTCCCAGGGTAAACCAAGAAATGCCTGAACATTGTCTTGTTTAGAAATTAAGAATTGGTTCACAGATCAGCATTGGCAATGCCACTGTAATATTTAATTCTCCTACTCATTACTCCGTGTTTGAATGCCACCTTCATATGCTTCTAGGCATGGTTCCAAATGGCTGCTTCCTTTGTCCTCTGGTGTAGCCGTGCCCAAACATTTCCTATTTTGTTGTATAGCAATCAATTCTCATTTCTTTGCAGTTTTAGGGTTCAGGTTGATTTTTCTAAAATTATATACATAGATAGGTCATATTTTCTATGATCTCGTTTTGGGACAGAAGAGGCACACTGAGCTCAGTCAGGTAACAACATGATCAAGCCCAGTCTTCCTGTGGCATGAACACAGACGTGACACAAGACCACAAAGGACAGAAGATGAATTCTCTCTCTCCACTTTGTTCTCACTAGGTGCACAGACCCCCTGGAACCTGCCTGCCCTGGCTGGGAAATAGCAATCCATATACCCCCTAAACACAACACACCACCTTTGCAAGTCTAGGGCATGAAGACTGACTGCATTTCACAGACACAGCTCTAAGCCATGGTAATTCCCAAGACTAGTTTAAAAAAATAATCCTATAAGAAACGAAGCCATCACATCAGTGACATGATGTACATGATGGAAAGTTCACGCTGTGCACAGTACATGCCAGGCAAACCACAGATGCTGCCCTTTGGAACGTATGACCCAGTAAAGGGGACAGACTGTAAAAGCTCTGCAGTTGGTGGGGTCTATGCATGAGGGATTGCATGAGGCCCATAGGAGTCTTGGGAGTGTCTGGGTATCCTCTCTCCTGTCCCACTCATCAGATCCACCCTCACACTTTACGAAGAGCACATCCAAGGCCACAGTGTCCCCCTGAAGTACCCTCTGCTTCGCAGCTTTGCTTTACTGTCCAGGGAGCAGTTAAGCCCTGTGTCTTCACCCCACCTCTCTTCTGGGAGCCCTGCCCTGTGGACCATCAGAGGTTGGGACTGCTTGGGAAAGTGGAGGCTCTGGTTTGTAGAGCGGCCTGTGTACCTCCCTCTCCGTCCATGGCAGGAGGGCCCTCAGTTTACCTGATGTAGCCCACCTGGGGCCTGTGCTGAAGGAACCAGCGGTAGGACACCTTGTCCTTCCAGCCCACATTCCTGGAATCCTTCCACAGCAGCCTGACCTGGTCGCTGGTGTCCCCCGTGTGCCACAGGGAGTTGCGGAGATGTTCCCCTGGGCCAGTTTTAGACTTCACAGCCTGGACAAAGACATGAGCAAGATGTTAGTAGAGGAAGGACATGAAGGTCCTTCCTGCTTCAGGTGTCTGAGGTCAACATGGAGGCGAGTCCATGCCCGCTGCCAGGGTGCAGTGTTATGCTGGCAAAAGAATAAACTTTAAATGTCACCTCTACTGACCTGGCCCTAGTCCTGTGGAATTCAGCAATGGATAGTACTGTGCTATTAACTCCATATTTTTCCTGATACAAGTCTAAGGCTCTGTCTGTTTGCCCACTGAGGGCTCTCACTGAATGTCTGACTGTGAAAGCATGCCTCTGTCCTGGCTGGAGTGGCAGAAGTAACCTGTCATTCCTGTACAATCCATCCCTTTGATTAAATACATTGGCTAGCTTCTAGGATAGGTCTGCCTGAAGGATGCCTTAAACCAGTGGCTCTCAACCTGTGGGTTGTGACCCCTTAGTAAACCCCTATCTCCAAAAATGTTTACAGTACAATTCATAACAGTAGCAAAATCACAGTTATGAAGTAGCAACAAAAATAATTTTAAGGTTGGGATTACCACAGAATATGGAACTGTATTCAAGGGTCTCAGCATTAGGAAGGTTGAGAACTACTGCTAAACCTCTCTTTGACCCCACTCAGCCTGACACTTCCAGCATGGGAGTCACACAGGTTGGAAGGTAGCTGGTTCAATGGAGGGAACAAAAGGTTGTCACCTTAGGCTCCCTGAGATCAGCATCAGCATGACTATATCCATTTCTCAGATTAACTTAGTGCTTTTTTGGAGAACTCTAAAATGTAAAGGGAGGTGAAGGGCCTAGGAGAAAGACAAACTTGGGAATTAAAACCACCAATACCTTGAGCTGAATGCCAGGTTCTGCTACTGCGCGGAACGGCGTGGCCTGCCAGTATGTCTGCTCTGTCTGCTTCCACATGACCACGTAGAAGCTGGAGCTGTCTTGGTAACCAAAAATAAAGCCAGCATAATCATCATCTGTCTGGGTATTTACGTGGAAGGTCCCTTCAAAGTCGACTCCATTAAATGCCGTGTACCCTGCGGAGTTCAAATGCAATTAGAAAAAGCCACACTAACAGCTGGCAGAATGCTACAAACACAGGAAGAGGCTCAGGACGTACCCACTGCTAGGCCAGGGTCACTGTTCATGGTCTGCACAATTTCCATGCCCTGTGGAGAGAGGATAGGGAGTTCAGACAACTTTGAGGGGGCTGAGAGAACTGGGGACAGCCCGGGAGGGACCTCAGGCTGTGTATGGTGACTGTGTGCAGTTCAGTATCTGACATGTTTTTCTGTTTGATATCGACTTGAGGGAGGTGCAAGTATGGCAAGAAGGTTTAAAGAAAGCTCAGTGCTGACAGGAAATACTTTTGCTAATACTGTCACATCAGCTGATGTAATAACTGCTGAACTAGGCAGGGGACATACAACATACATTCTGATGGACATTTGTGCTTTTGTTGTGCTTAACACAATGTAGGATCACTTGGAAGAGCCACTCGACGATGGGCTAGGCGCCTAGGTTAGGGTGTCCTGCGTCATACCCATGGGGAAATTGTCTCGATTGGTTAGTTGATGTGGATGACTCAACCCTCTTTGGGTAGCACCAGTTGCCAGCCTCGGTCTATATGAGTGGAGAAAGAGCAGAGACCAGACATGTGCAAACTTCTCTCAGAGCTTGACTTCAGATGTGATATGACTAGCTACTTCAAGTTCCTGCCTCAACTTTCCTACAACAATGGACTAAAACTTGGAATTGTGAGTGAAAATAAACTCTTTTTCCCCTAGGTTTCTTTGGACAGAGTATTTGGTCACAGCAACAACAATGACACTAGGACCAATGAGATGTGCTTTGTGGCTCTGGAAACTCTATTAGCCCCTGTGCCTTCTTCAGTGGCACAGTTGGTGGCATGTGCAGGAGGCAGTCTATTGGAAAGATGGGGAACCTAGCTTATGGATCACATTGCTGAGGAGTCTCTAGTTCCAGTCATCTCAGCCACTTACTGAAGTGTCACCATGAGCAACCACAAAAGTTTTGGGGAGAGTCAATTCCATATCTCACAAAAGTACAGTGCCACAAGGCCACCAGGAAGAACCTATGCCAAAAGAGCAGAGCCATTTGGTAGTGAATGCCCTCCACATGCCGCCCGCCACTCTCAGAATGCTCTTGGTAAAAAGATTGAGTAGAACCAGTGCCAACATGTAATGTGTACCTGGTTCAGGACCACCCAGTTGGGGTCGATCTGGGCATCCCCTTCAGGGTCCAGGACCACAGTCTGGTAAGCCCTGAAGTCAGTCAGGGTGATCTCTGCATTCTCAGGGCAGACATCAATGCGATCGATGACCTGGTCCTGGTCGAAGTCAGCTTCACAGATATCCCCTACTCCATCACCTGAGTTGAAGAAGGGAGGAGGCAGGAGTACAATGATGCTGAGGCCTACCTCCTCAGCAGAGAAGGGGCCTGGGCAGGGGACAGAAAAGCCCAAGCTCCCACCTCCAGGCCAGGGTTTTTTGAGAGTCAGGAGAGGATCTGAATTTGCAGAGCCCTCATGACAGCCAATTAGGCCACTCAGAAACCACCTAGAGTTTCTTGTAACATCAGTCTATAAGGTTGCCCCCAACTCTTTCCCAGAAAGCTTTCATACAGTTAGGTTCACCACCTGATAGATCTTAAGCCCGACCTTATATGGAGCAAATGTCTAACAGGTGCACAAATCCAGGAATTATTACCACCAGAATATCTTTAAGACTATCTTTGGTGTCCCCTAAGGTTAATGTGACCCACAGGTGCATTCTGCTCAGCTGGAATGACAGTGGAGACACAGCATTTGCTTTGTTAGGATGAGCCCCCTCCTTCTGTGTCATTTCCCATCTTGCCTGGTGCACATGGTTCCTTAGCTGCCCAGTCCTCACAGGTGTGTGAGTTTGTGTGTTTCTCTCCATATGACTCCCAGGGGCAGGGGCACGCAAGGCCAGAGTTGCGCTGAGGGCCTTTGGGGACTGAGCTGTAGCACATGGCTGTGCCCTGTTCTATGTGACCTCCTCCCAGGACTGCTCAGGAAGCAGCCAGGCTGGTGAGCTCTGCCCCAGGTGCAGACTGCTGTCTCTCAGATGCCTGCTCTATGCAAGCCAGATTTGAAGCAGAACTGGTGGGCAGTGGGAAAGCTGATGATGCCCCAGGGAAGTGTGCATCCCTTCATATGGCTGCAAGGAGTCTAGAGGTGTGTGTGTCCCAGGCAGCCCTGGGCTGCGCATGCTTACTGTTGCTATCTTCCTGGCCTGGGTTGGGAACCAGCCGACAGTTGTCTGGGCCAGGGGGCACCAGGTCTGGGATACCATCGTTGTCATCGTCATCATCACATTCATCGCCAATTCCATCCTTATCAGTGTCCAGCTGGGCACTATTAATAACGGTGGGGCAGTTGTCTGTGCTGTCCTGGTGGCCATCCCCATCACTGCAGAGGAAAATTATAGTTTAGTAGAGACTGAAGCCTCTGCTCCTGGGGAGGAGTCTGGATGGGCTGTCAGCAGGCTGGGTTTATCAGACCCTATCAGACCTTTCTTTGATAAGGCAGCCTCAGAAACATCTACCCTGCTTCTCCAGTCTCCTGAAAGAAGCCAGCCACTTCCTGTTTGAAGATAAGAGTCTATTTCTGTGATATGTGACTTGGGCTGCTGTCATCTCTAAGGGCTGCTAGATGACACCTCACTGCAAGGAAATGTGAAGGCAAGAGACGTGGAGACACATGTGAGCTCTTGCTCAGGCACTGGTGAGCAATGACCTCAGGCATACTGGAGCTGAGAGTTCCAGTCTTCATCTATAAGACAGTGATGAGCACAGGGCCTGTCTCAGGGGGCAGCTTAGAGACCGAATGACTCGATTGTAACACCTGTAAAAAGCCCACCCTATGCACCTGGCTCTAGGAACCGAGCCCTCTGATGTTTTCTGTTACGTTGATTTTCATGATTCCCATCTGGTAACCCCATGAGGACTCAGACTGGAATGCCACAGGGAGGGTTGTGGAGGAGAGGTTGCTCTTTCCCCAGAAGTGAGTGCACTGGTTGTACCCGGGGCTGTTCTAAAGGACATCCCAGGAAGCTCACTCTCTGTCTACCCAACTTTTCTCCCTTCCAGGATGAAGGGCCACAGGGTGGGGGTGGGTGGGAGGGGTAGCAGGTGGCAGCTTGGGGGATGGTACAATTGCTCTGACTCTGGGAGGACCTTCCAAGTCTTCTGGGACCTTCTGTGGCTACGAGGGATCAGAATGGATTCCCTTCACTCTGCTCCACTCCAGGCCTGTCTTGGCCTAGAAACTGCTCTTATACCCCCTAGGAGAGGACACAGAGGACACTGCCCTCTTTTCATACAGAGGGCAGAAGGGCCCCAGGGAGGCTAAGTTCAACATGCACACTGGAATACTGCGGCTGAGAAAGCCGGATTTCTGCACTTCTCATAGCACTAGAGCGTGGTGGATGGGTCAGAACAATCCACAGAGCCCTGCTACCTCTATGGAGAAACAAGCAGTTCCTAGCCCTCTCCTGGTGTGGCTCAAGTTCATGGGAATATGGGAGAATGAGTCATTTGTTTTAGGTGAATATCTAGAGGATGGTGGGATAGGCTATTTTAGAGATTTCTATAGACAGTAACCAGAGTACATGGTGACCCACCACTGGGAACATTCTTGATTCACACAGTACATCATTTAGGGTAGTTGTCAGGGTGCCAGCCCTACCTTCTGCTCAGAGAGACAGATAGCCAATGTCAGACTGTGTCACTGCTCACCTCTCCTATGCTGCAGTACCTGTAATAGCCACCATCTTCTGCAAGTTGCCCCAGGGGGTGGCCCTATGCTGGAGCTTCCCCTGTATTATTTTGGGTTTTCACTTAACCTATAAGGTGTGGTGATTGTTTTTTATGGTTCTGATGAAGTAACAAACATCTAAGAGATCAAGGAAACACCTGAGTCCACTTGACAGGGATGCACATGGCAGTAAGGATGGAGCATGAGGAAGATGGGACCTCACAGGAGCTGTCCCGAGGAATGCTGTGGGAACTGATTCTGCAAGGGAAGTGAGTCTGTGGTCCAGTTACTAGAAGAACCACATGTTGTCCTGCTTTGCCTTTGGGGAATCCTTACCCATTCAGACTTGCCCTGACCATCTTTCCAAGAATCACCCAAGGAGGGAGGGGGTGAAATATAGCTAGGTGGTAGAGTGCTTGGCTAGCAGGGGCAAGACCCTGGATAACCCCCCAGTAACTGAATGCAAATTCCCCAAGGTCCCACGGAGAGGATGGGGTACCTGGGGGTATAGACACCTATGGCTGAGTGGCACTTAGTTGTGCTTTTCTTGTGGCCCTTCTGCTCCACTCTGCCTCCTTTTCTGTTTTCTTTGTGGTGGTGCTGAGAAGTGCACTCCTGGCCTTGCACATGCTAGGCAAATGTTTTTATCACTAAGCTCTGTCCCCTGCTCTCCCTGGGCTTCATAGGGGACTCCTTGTTGGGCTAGGAAGAATGGAAAACATGCTCTCCATAGAATAATTCCTCTCAATGAAACAGAAAAGACATCAAGGACAATAAACAACAATGATGTCTCAGCGAGACCCTCTGTTTGGGGTGATGATGAACTTTTCCCGATATGCTGAATGGTAGCTTTATAACAGAAAACACAAAAGGCATCTTTCCTGGGTTAACTCATTTCAATGACAACCCATGGGCTATATATCTACAGTCACTTCCATTTTATAGGAAAGGAAACTGAGGCAAAAAGAGATTAGGTCATTAATGGCATCTGGCTGAAACCCCTGCTCCCTACACAGTACTTTCAGGGAGATACAGTGGCCTGGAGCAAAGGAGGAGCCTCTGTCTCACAGAAACCTGATCCATCCAGAGATCCTAGAGCAAAAGTCAGCAAAAATCTCTGACAATTCCCAGTCTCAGACCTCCCACCCGTTTCCTTGCAATTGGGAGGCATACCATACCTGTCCTGGTTGGTGTCACAAGAGTCCCCAACCAGATCATTATCCACATCTGACTGCAAAGAGAGTAAGTAGAACATGTTATTTACCACCGGGTTTGCATGTATGAACTATTCCCGAGAGGGCAGGCCTGGCCCATCATCACTGGGTTTAAGGAATTATTTCTTGGGAACCAGGGTGGTATAAAACTGCAAAAGGACAACACCATATTGGTGTAGGCACAATGCTGAATTTTCAAAAAAGCCTTCTAAAATATCAAGCTTCATGGAGGGGCTGCCCACACACCAGCTGAGCTGCTTGGGAAAGGTTCTGGGTGGCACAGTGGCGAGCAGAGACAGGGTGCTCTGGCTCAGTTGGAAAGGAGCCAGACACAGGCATGGGTCAAAGCACATTGACTCTATGTTTTGTCTGCTCTTAGGAGTTGAGACGGGATGAGGAGTGAGGCACAGTGGGTAACAAGGACTCTCTTTTTTGGGGCTTCAGAAACAGACTGCTCAGCATGCCCAGAGATCCAAGCAGCAGGTGTATGGGAAGAAAAAAACACATCTTAATCTGCAACTTAATCTGCAATGTTCATACATAGACTTAGAAACTAAAGGGGCATGTGATTAGGATCGTGTCCATGTTTCTATTTTTTGACAGTAGAAACTTGTTTGGGCATCATTAAGGCCATGCTACTAACGCCATCAGTGTTGTGTGGTTGTGAGGTGATTCCCAAGGGTCTCATGTGTTTCTGTCCTGTCTCAGGGAATGCCATCTTGTTGTAACTCCATTTTGTGTGCTTAGACAGCTCTCAGCCCTCTACCTGCCTCCTCTCCACAGGCATATCTGCCTTGGCAACACATTTGGGGTTTTTACATCCTTGACCATGGTTCAGATACATTAAGCAAAACAATTAAATAAAATAACTAGAAAAATATGAGTAAAAATAATTGACAAGTTATATCTAAAATAACTACCATGCTCTGCCAGGAATGAACGGTTCATGGTTACGCTGACCCTCATCTAACTTTGATGGAAATTATGGTTTTGGTGGTTTTGTCTTTAAAACTCTGTATCCCTGAGCTTGGACACCAAAAGACTTTTCAGAGGCACAAGCCTGCTCTTGGTCTGGCCATCAATGAAAAGGACTTAAACCTTTCCATTGGCTTAATCAGTGCAGTTGTCAATAACTATCGCGTGTGGGTCATTTCAGTCCCATCATTCTCAGGCCTAATGCACATCTTTTCTTCTCTTGAGCCTTGATTCAACAGCAAAGAACTGGCCAACAGCTTGGCTGGGTTTTTCCAGATGTTGATTTTTAGTGAATATTTTCATGAGGGAACTCAGTCTACAGTGTGAACCCCGTCTTACTAACCTGATTAGGGTTACTGACATCAGGACAGCTGTCACAAGCATCTCCAACACCATCACCATCCCGATCCCGCTGGTCACGGTTGGGAACTCTGGGGCAGTTGTCCAAAATGTTTTTTATTCCTGAAAGAAAAGGATGCTACCATGGGTCAGGAGACTGTCATAGAAAATGGCAGAACATAGAGAATTCTAGCAGCTGAGAAGCCGTCTGTGGTCACGTACTCCTGCTGGGCCTTTGTTACATTGCCGTCTTTAGTAGTATCTGGAGGTGACTTCAAAGAAAGGCTCTGTGAGACTCAGACATGAACAGCTCTCTAAGGCAGCCACCCAACGAACTCTAACCTGTCTAAGATGTTAAGGGCTGTGGCAGCATCCAGAGATGGAGGCCATGATGACTGGGTGGGCTGACCCACAGAAGGAGGACCTTGTAGGAGTCTAAATTTGAATGGAGACAAAAGGCCTTTGGGCAGTGGGTACAGGAGTTGGGCCTGGGCCTACTGAATCCCTGTTTCTCAATTTCATGTTCAATGGCATTTGAAATAAGCAACAGTGAAGGGGGTGATATTGTAGAGATGAACAAATGCCACAGGTTAGGGTACTTTATTGAATGGGTTTATCAGCATACCACTGCAGTGAGGTTGACACTCTAGCTCACTGTGCTTTAGGGGAGGTGCATATATTCTGGAGGAGTGAATGTGTGTGTTTGAGGGGTTAGCATTTTTAAAAGGAGGTTCCTTTAGTGGTGTGCTATGTTTGCAGAAAGTCAGATCCTAGGCTGCCTTTAAATGACAGTTGTCATATGCTATAGACACCGTATTGAATAAAATGTCCTTCCTCAACCTACGAGGTTTCAGAGCTGCCCTTGACATGAAACTCACAGAGTCCCCACGGTAGAATCCCAGAGCTGGGTAGTGCAAGCACCATGACATCCCAGCCCTGCCCAGAGCAGGCAGGGGCTGGCTACATCTTCCTGGCCTGCGTTCAGGCCTGAATGCTCGATCTTAGCTTATGCTTGTCCCACTAGCTCTTATAATTTACATTAACCTGTTTTTCTTCATCTACATTTTGTCTCATGGCTTTTTACCTTTCATTATGTATGTTCTACTTTCCTGCTTCCTCCACGTCTATGTGTCTGGCAGCTGCCTGGCTGGCTGGACCGGGGTTCCCCCCCACACACTCTCCCTCATTTTCTCTTCTCTCTGGAGCCAGATTCCTCCTCCTACTTATTCTGGCTGCCCACCAGCCCCACCTATCCCTCTACTCCCTAGCTACTGGCCATTCAGCTTTTTATTAGACCAATCAGGTGCCTTAGGCAGGCAATAAGAAATAAATGTAACATATCTTTACATAGTTAAACAAATGCAGCATAAACAAATGTAACAATTTTTACATAGTTAAAGTAATATTCCATAACAGACCCTACTGAGTTCTCCATTCCCAGGTCTCTTCCATGTTTAGGAGTGGGGGAGAAGGAAAGTAGGGGTGTGGGAAAGTTGGGGAGTCAGGGAGGAGCCAGGAAGGCAGATGCCCTGTAGACATACCTCTGACAAGACATGAGTAAAAAGTACTCTCTCAGGGTTCCTGTCAATGGTATAAAGTACCAGAAACATACAGGGTTACTGGACTACCAGACATAGGTCAGAGTAAACACTATAGGGGGAGTTCCTGAGTCAGCACATCTATTCCCACTACTAGTGAGGTCAAAAGGAATTCGGAACAAAAGACCAAGCAAAACAAACCTACCATCTCCATCCATGTCGTCATCACATGCATCTCCTTTTCCATCCCCGTCAGTATCCCTCTGGTCATTATTTAGGACAGTCCGGCAGTTGTCACAGGCATCCCCAAAGATATCTTTATCACTGTTCCTTTGGTCTACATTGTGAGTCAGGACACAGTTGTCCTAAATGGGGAAAAGGAGTTTAGGCACTTACTCAGACTTATACCTGCCTCACAGTTGTGGCTTCCCAAGCCTGTCTGTTTTATATTTTAAACACTTGTGACTCTCAGAGGACAAGCTGCAATGCTGTGAGAACATGGTCATGGAGATAAAAGGTTTGAGGTGATTAATCTCAGTGACTGATTTCACAGTCTCAGTTCCACAATCCCTGGTGTGTTGCAGTGTGCATGCATTCCCCCTCAAAGCTGGTACCTGCTCATTCAGGATCCCGTCTCCATCAGCATCCTCATCACACGCATCTCCAATGCCGTCTCCATCTGCATCTTCCTGGCCAGAGTTTGGCACATACTTGCAGTTATCCTGATAGTGGAAGCAGCTCAGAGTCATGTACTATCCATCTACTTGTCTCATGTCAAAAAGTATTTCTGACCTCAAGACTGAGTGTGGTTGCCTGGCTTGGTTAGTGGCTGTTTTGTTTGCTTCATTTGAGATGTAGCTACTTCAAAATTTTGGCTCTGGAAGTCCATAGGGTATTTTTTCCATGCTTGTTCTCCTTACCTTCTTGCAATTCCTGGCAGAACATGGCAGTTCTTCATCGGGGTAACTGTCAATGTCTACATCCTTTCCACAGACATAGCCGTCACCAGCCCAACCAACACCACACTGCAAAGAGAGAGTCTGTTAGAGGCCTGGGAAAACAGTCCCCAAGAAGGCAGGTGACCAACTTGGTCCCTGCCCCTGTGTGACCATTCCCCAGGGGGAGGATCCAGAAGCCTCACATCCTGGGTAGATGCAATGTAACAGTTCAGTTGTGCTAAGCATGCTGGACCATGCCTACAACCTCAGGACTAGGAGATGGAGACAGGAGGATTAGAATCCGTTCAAGGTCATCCTCCATAAATAGTGAAAGAGTTAAAAGTCAGCCTGGGCACTCTGAAGTTCTGTCCCCCACAAACCAAACAATGGCAGGAAGATGCCTCAGTCTTAGTAAGATGCTTGTTGTACAAGCATGAGGACCTGATTTTGGGTCCATGGCACCCATTGAAAAGGCTAGGCTCATGTCCATAATTCCAATGCTGTAGAGGTGGCAACCGAACTTCCCTACAGCCTGTTGGACAGATAGTCCCATGCAATCAGTGAGCCCAAGATTCAGTAAATACTCTGCCTCAAATGGATATGGTGGAGTTCAATAAAGGAAAACTTCTAGCATCACTTGTGTGATTGTGAACCACCCCCTGCTCCACCATATACAAACTAACAAAACAAGAAAAATGCAAAAGCAGTTTATAGTTGTATGATGGGGGATGTCCCTCTGTATGCTGTGAATATATATTTCTCTTATTGGTTTAATAAAACGCTGAAAGGCCAGGAGCCAGGAAGGAAGTATAGGCTGGGCTACCAAACTAGGAGAATGCTGGGAAGAGGAAGACAGAGAGAGAGAGTTGCCAGAGGGAGATGCCATGTAGTCACTGAAGGAGTAACATGCTGGAGCATTATGGATAAGCCACAGCCTTGTGGCAACATATAGTTTAATAGAAATGGGTTAATACTTAAGAGAGACTTAGCCAATAAGAAGCCTGAACCATTGGCCAAACAGTTTATAATTAATATAAGCCTCTGTGTATTTATTTGGGATTGAATGGCTGGGGACCAGGTAGGACAGAAACCTCCATCTTCAGTTGTATAGAAACAGACTTAATGATTCTAAACTCCAAAGCTCAAAGGGAGATAGACAGAGAATCTCCACTCTAGCTCCTGTTCCTGTGGCTCAAACAAACAAAGGCAACCCACTCTTATGTACACACTCAGAGATGGTCTGCGAACAGACAGGCAGATGCACAGTCCTCTTTTGTCTTCTCATCGAGTTGGCTGCACACAGTTAGGTGTATATACTCTATTGCAACTCAAAAAATAAGGTGACATTTTATTTTGGTGGTTTCTCTGAATCTCTCCATGCACATTCATGGTATTCTTTTAAGTGGCCACATATCTATTGCAGATAAGGCTGCACTGGGCATGCCTGGATTGACTCAATTGATTTTCTACTGGGGGTGTCAGGTTTCTAACAACTTTGCTATGACTGACAGTGGTGCTTCAGATCATTTTGGTACATTTGTCCTTCTGAGAGTGTACTAGTTTAGCTTGTGGAGTACTGGGTCCAAACATTTATTAATTTAATGTGTGTAGGTGTGCACCTAAGAGTATGTATGTGCAGGTGCCTGCAGAGGAGAGAAGAGGGCATTGGATTACTTGGGACTGTAGTTACAAGGAGATGTGAGCCACACACAGGTGCTGAAATTTAACTCAGGTCTTCTGAAAAAGCACAAGTACTCTTAACGGCTGAGCCATCTTTCCAGTTCTGAAGGTATTCCTAATTTGGGGTTGTGATCAAAGTGTTCTTCCCAAGACTGTTCAATTCATCTCCTCTCCCTTGAAATCAAGACCAAGTGGGTGGGCGACTGCAGCATTTATCGATTTTGGGACATAGGCTTGTATATGAATTAGTTCTTTTGGGTCAGTTTCCACCCAAAGAGGGAAACTTTAAGGTGCTTAATCTCTGTTCATGTCCCTTTCTTAGAACAGAGGTGGTTCCTACTGGTGTGGTCAGTGCTGGCTCTGTGTACCTTCCCCTCTGACATGTCCCCTTCAATAGCCTGCTGTGCAGAGAGCCAACAGAAAGCCTCACCACCAGCAGATCAGGTGGGAAGCAGCAATTTTGTTTCAGTTTTTAAAGTTACATTTACAGTGTTGCCCAAAATGTGTGTGTGTGTGTGTGTGTGTGTGTGTGTGTGTGTGTGTGTGTGGTGGAGGGTACCTTTATCTGCTGAGTCATTTCTCTAGCAGTTTCTCTTAAGTGGATTTTCCTAGTCTTTTTCTCCACTCCTTAAGACACTGCAAGGTCATCATTGTCTTTATGCAAGAGTCACATGAGCTCAACCTGGGTCAGTGCTGGCCTTGCCCTGGCTCTCAGAGTAGGGAACATTAACCTCAAGCCTGTCCACTTCCAACTTCTACCCCTGCGTTTGGTTAATGTACATTTTTGACTTTTCCCTCAAATATCCAAGGTGCCCCAGAGACAGGATGTCTGACTCACCAAGAATCCTTCCTAAAAGCTGCTGGGTGTGAGGTGGAGCCTGAGAATCAGCTCGGGTGCGGGGAGTGGGGGTGGAGGTGAGGGAGGTAGGAGTCGGGGTGAAGGCACAGGGGAGGGTGCAAGAGGAAGAGGTGCAGACTGCTCCAGAAAGCCTGGGAGCTACCAGGAAAAGTGTACCTGGCCCCAGAGGTGACAGGAGATAAGAGGGGACAAAGCTGAAGAGTCAGGACCAGCAGCAGGGAATAGATCTCTGGGAAACGTCCTGGCTTCTCAATAGCAATAAGGTGTTTTTCCTCCAATAACATCCCTGGTGCTGCAGCCCCTACCTGTCCCCCTCCTCTGCTCTCCCAGTACAGCCTGAGTGAGCCCCGCCCCTGATACCAAAGGCCCCGCCCCATAGCCCCATCCCACTCAAGGGCTTCCGTGCCTTTGCAAGTTCAGCTGTGGGTCCAGTCCTCCACTCATTTTAATGAGGAAAAAATTTCCTCTAGGAACAAATACATTTTTAATGAGCCATTTTCTGGCAGATTAAATTATTTTAGTAGTCACACCGAGTTTATTAATCCTTTACCATCTGTCGTTGTGCCTTATTACGAATTCAAAAACATATTAAGAGGCCCATCACCCACCATCCCGGAGGAGCCATCAATTTGTTCATAGAAAATGAGAATTTAAGCACAGATATATACTTGCTTTTCAATGGCTTTAAAACAAAGTACATGTGTGCAGTAGCATGCCCAACCATCAGGATTAGTGGAAAGTTTGGCTCTTTTTCTTTCTCTGACACAGTGCATTCTCCAGACCTTGCTCTAGCATACTTGTACAGCCATGGAAGGCCGACTTTATTATACCTTTTTTTTTTAACTTTTCAATCTTATTTTCTGATTTGAAAAATGATAAGATGACTGAGGAAAGGTTCCAGTCAGAAAGATAAAGAAGTGTAAATTTGAGCAATGTGATGGGGAATTGTTTTTTTTTATTATTTTATTATTATTTTTTAAACAGGGTCGCAATGTCCATCTCTGGCTGGCCTGGAACTAACTCTCTATGACATAAGAGTTTGTGTAGACCAGGCTGGCCTTAAACTCAGAGATCTGCCTGCCTCTACTTCCCAAGTGCTGGGATTACAGATATGAGCCACCACGCCTGCCCCTGTCCCTGGGGGTGGGGGATTTTTATGCTGTTAGAGGGGCTCACCATGGATACAGGACCACAGGCAGAAGCTCTCCTACTGTGTGCCTGGAGCTCCACAGCAGAGAAAGAAGCCAGCAACTCAAGGCAGCGAGATGCTAGTGCCTGAGGGACTCAGCTAAGAGCAGGGCACCAGAGCTGGGAATGGAGAGAAAGGCTGACCACTCACTGAGCTGTGCCTACAGCAGGGTTGAGAGTGCCACAGAAAAGGTGCAACCCATCCATGGGTGACAGATTTCCCAGTTTCTGCTAGCCCTCTCATTTATCTTTGTACTCCCCCTCCCCCAGAGTATGAGGCCACAGTATCACTGGACATCTAAAGGGTGAGGACAGTTATGAATGACAATAAGTATGCCATAAAGTATAAATAGGGGGACAGAGCAGGAGGAGAGGGAAGGGGGGCTCTCACTCCTCTTGGTTGTCGGCATTTTAGGCTAAAATTTCCACAGAAGGCCATAGGGAGTTGGTATCCCATAGGGGTCCCACCATCCAGGTGTCCAAGTGGCTAGTTGCTCCTCAGCTAAGAGGTAGAGAAGAGGGACATCAAGGTTGGATGGGCTTCAGATTGTTGCTCAGAAACCTAACTGAGCCCGTTATATTCTGTGCTGACCTGGGCTACAACTTATAAGTTTTGGCACACATTTACCCTGAAGCAAGTAGGAACTGGGGAGGGTTGTGCTTAAAAGGAAGAGGAAGACAGTCAAGCAAATCAAGAGCTTACCACACATGTCACATCTCCCTGCCTCTCTTCAATGCACTGTGCATTCACACTGCACGGGTTCAGCTCTGGGTTCCTGCAGTTTCTTTCAGTCTTGCACCCCCTTGTCTGGTCACCAGTGTACCCTGGTTTGCAAGGCCCACAGCGATAAGATCCCTGCAAGGGACAAATATGAGATGATAAGCCAGAGTTGGGCAATGAGGGTTGAGCATAGCAACCCATAGCTCTCAGCTCACATGCATGTCTCATAACCTCCTGTGCATGTTGGTGAACCTGCAAGCAGGCAGGAAGCTGCAACTGGACACACAGCCATTAGAGAACTAGGACTGAAGGTGGAGAAGTCAGGATGGTATCCGTGGTATCTGATGAACCAGCTCCACCATGCCGGTAAGGGGGAAAGGCTGAAGGCTGCAGTGAGGTCCTCGGAGGTAGAATGACAGACTACTCTGGTGATAGGCAAATGGCCTGATTAAACAGTTAGGTTAAAATAACAGTTCCTTTGGCTTTTATACACATGGAGACATGGTGATGGCTTGCCCTGAGAAGTTCTGAAGGTTTCCTGGGAAGAAATAAAGAAGCTGTGACTCCACAGAGCACTTCCCAGGCTAGCGAGGACTTTTAATTTTTCTAAAAGTTAAAATATCAATGCAGATAGTTTACAGAGTTGTTTTTAACATTCATTGATTTATTTCCTGTGTATGAATATTTTGCCTACATATTTGTATGTGTACTACATGTGTGCCTGGTGCCTCCAGAGGCCAGAAGAGGGCGTCAGGTCCTCTGGAACTGGAGTTAACAGATTGTTAGCCTCCATGTGGGTGCTGGGAATGAACCCTGGTCCTCTGCAGGGGCAGCAAGTACTCTTAACTTCTGAGACATTTTTCAGCCCCTCAGAGTGTTTTCTTCATTAGATGTTTTTAGTTTTATTGAGATTCAACTGGAAAATAAAATTATGTGTGTATTTGTGGGGTTTTTTTGGGGGGAGGTTAAGGGTGGGTACAGGTGCCATGAAGCATGTGTGGAAGTCAAAGGACAACTTGTGGGAGTCAGTTTTCTCCTTTGACCATGTCGGTCCCAGGAATTGAACACAGGATGTTGGGCTTGGCAGCAAGCACCTTTAAATGCCAAGCCATCTCACTGGCCCAGAAATTGAACATTCTTAAACTACTCAGTGTGGTGATACCTAAATTGTGACATAATTACCACAGATAATTTACAAAGCACAGCTATCACCTCATTGTAATGACCTTTCTTTATTTTTGTTTTTAGGTAAAGTATCACTTCACAGTCCAGGCTGGCCTTGAACTCACTAGGTGTCACAGACCTGTCTTGAACTTAGGGTGAACTTGCTGCCTCAGCCCCCTGAGTGATGGTATTACAGGTGGAGTAACCCTTTTGTTTTGAATGTTTTTACACATATAATACACCACTTGTTAAGTATGGGCACCACATTTGCATGACAGCACCTCAGAGAGTATTCATTCACAAAGCTTAACTGATTGACTTAAGTTACAGTTAGATGATTTTCATAACTGTGGACCTCTTGCCTGGCAATGCCAATGTTCTTTGCCTGTGATTTTTAAAATGATCTGTCAGTTCATTGGACATGCTGTTAACTCCTTCCTTTTCATGGCTTCTGCTCTTTTTCTCTTGCCTACTCCTTCATCTTGGGGTTTTCTGGAGTTCTATCCATGGCCTGCTTTTCCTCTCTCTGGGTGGCTTCTGTAATTACCTTTATACCAAGGTTTCCCAAATCTATTTGCACAGGCATGCTGTGTCCTTGAAAAGGCTAAAAAACATAAGTACCGTTATGTTTCCAAGTGGTCATAGCATAATGGTGAATGTCTCAGGCTCAGCAGCAAGACTGGAAAGAACTCTAAGGAGATGTGTGTCCTCAGCCTAATTATGCAACATCCCTGCACTGCAGTCTTTTAATCCATAAACGGGGCACCACATACTATTACCCACTCACAGGGCTCTTCTGAGAATTAAAGGATATGATGATATTTATAAAGGACTTTTATTTGCAAGGAAATGAGATGGGAGGTAAACAGCTTTCCCAGAGAATTATGGTGAGTTTGAAACAAGTCTTTGCCTAAAAGTTATGGTGACTGAGAAGCATCAGAGCTTCTTTCATTATTATTCTACTCTGCTCCATCTTTTATCTTCACACAGTTAATAGGAACTCCCCAAAATAAAACCTATATTGGAGTATTTAAATTACAGACTTCCCTAAGTACTAGCATTTAAATTAAATGCAAATGGCTTTCTGAAAAGTTTTCTTTAAAAAAAATAAAACAACTGTTTGACAATCCTGTAGTCACCAGTAAAATACTGAACCATTAATAGCACCTAATAGGCTCTTCAGTTGAGGACCATGTTGAGCTTCACCATCAATTTCACTGGCTTTGGAATTCCCTAAGAACCTAGCTCCTGGTATATAGTGTGAGGAGTTTCCAGAAGCGTCTAACTAAGTAAGGAAGCTTCCTGCCTGTGGGAACATAGTGACCAGCTGCCTCACCTCCAGAAGAGCCATTATCACCATCACCCCTTCCCTGCTGCACTGGACTAGGAGCCCAAAGGAGCTTCTTCTGACTTAACTGCATTTTCCACCAGTGACTTTTTCACAGTGATGAAAACAGGAACTAACTCAACGAACAGAAAGCTTTGACAAAGGATAGAGAACTTGGCTTTTTAATACAAAAATGAATTATGAAATAACTAATACAGTAAACAAGTTTTCAGCAAGTCTTGTGCCCTCATTCTGCCAATCAAATGTTATGTGTGCATATGCTGTGTGTGTTTGGAGTTAGGATCCACACACCCACCTGCTTCTGAACCTGGCTCTGCTTTGATAGGAGAACCATGAGAAATACTTACCAAAGTGTTGATGCAGATAGAATTCTGAACACACGCTCCATTTCCATGTCGACACTCGTCAACATCAGTGCACACCTAGGCATAAAAGTTCAATGACATCTCATACCCAATGCTTAAACCAAGGCAACTGAACTTTCCCATCTTGCCATGTTTGGATGAAGACATGGAATTTCAGGTAGGATGTCAACTGAGGATTACTTTAGCCTTCTAGGATTTGTGCACCTAGTCCAGTTGCAGATGCTAACTGTCCTCACACAGTTTAAAGCCATTCAGAGAAAATGACATGCATAACTTATCTATTCCATAACTTCACGTCAGGAAAGCCTCTCCTGTCCTTTCGGATCTGTAGGTACCCAACAGACTTCTGAGGGCTCCTATTTCTTCAGTTCTGGAAAGTTCTCAGCATCCCTCCAGTCTTGTTATTTCTAGTCTTTGGATTCACCGTCAGAAAAATAGTTTCTTTTGGCCCCTGCCCTCTTGCTTGTTTTATGTATCTTTGCTAAATTCTGGATCACCTTTCAGCTTCTTAGAGGGATCTAATCTGTTTCACCCACTGAGTTTTAAAAGCCTGTTTTTAACCATATATTAATTATGTATAATAATGTGTTTTATTGTGACATTTTCATACATGTGTCATCAATTGAGCTATTAAGTTCAGTGGTTATACTTTTAATTGGTAATGCCATTTTACCTTTCCTAAAAATATTTTTTATTGAGCTTTTTGTTTATTTCTTTTTAAATATTTTTAATTTAAATAGAATTAGATCACTTCCCCTTCCTTTCCTTCCTCTAGCCCCTCTAAGGTACCCTTCCTTGAACCCTTCCCCTGCCCCCTACTCTCAAGTTGATAGTCTCTTTTTCTTTGATTATATTTGTTACGTGCACATATATGTATGTGTATGTATAAGTATACATAAATAACTCCTAAATCTATGGTTCAGAGAACATTTGAGAAGAGGGGATGGAACTATGGTAAGAGCCAGAACACTAGGAAGTCTTCGGTGGAAACAGTTTCTCCTAGAAATGGCTGCATGGACAAGACCAAAACAGCAGCAGTGTCAATGGCCAAATTAACATGGAAGGGAGGAAATTCCATGGGGTTCGACCCCTAGACCAAGAACTACAGGCCACTGTTGACTGCTGGAGAAGGTGAATTAGCTTCTCCCAGATATGAGCCCCATTATTGATTGTCCAGTGTAGAGTGATCAGCCTTGAAACCACTTATACACACATTGATATTAGTTTCATTTGGATACTATTTTCTATTTTCTCCAAAGAGTACCCTTTTCTTTAATCACAGCATTGATCCTTTATATTCGTTTTATGTTTATTATGTTTCCTTATCACAGTTTCTTCGTAGCAGCCCCTATATTGCTGGTGGGCAAAATTCCACTGGTCCTGATATTGGGCATCTGCACACTCCGGTGTGTCTTTGATTGGCCACAGCTCTGTGATATTACTCCTTTAGGAAGGTTTTATGCTAATAGCTATGTTTTATGCTAATAACAATGTTTTATGCTAATAGCTGTTTTACTGGTAGCACAGACTTGGAGTTTCTAACTGTAAATGGTGTAAACTTGGTGCTGTATTGTATCATAGGCAATTTTCACTGTTGTCAGCCATGTCCCAAAGCTGGAGTCAAATTTTCTTGCTTTTTTGAGCTACTGATGTTTTTCCAGCTCTTTGTCATAGAAAGAGACATTCTCTAGGGATCCTAGCTTTACATACATACAGACTAGGTCTCCTAAAGCTCACGACTGCTGTCCTCATGTCTATGAGCTGGTGTGTGTGGCACTGATATTCCTTTTAGCCCTAGAAACACTACCTTCTTTGATTTCTGCTGAACTTGGCAATCCATTAAAATCTGTCATAAAATTTTAGCAAAGCAACTCCTTCATACACACACACACACAGTCAGGGTTGGGGATTCATATTCATGTATCTACTGGGAAGTGTCCCTTACTAGCTTCCATCAAGCATTTTATATGGAATTTTGTCTATTTTCCTTGGCTTAGTCTGAGAGATTTTGTTCTTAGAAGAGAAGCAAAACTTGGCTCATTATCCTGTTGGCTCCTTGTCATTCCTGTGTCCAGTTTGCTTTCTTTTTCTAGCCTGAAAAATGATGCCCTGCAGAATCTTTTGATAAGCAGCAAGGAAATAATGACCCTTTGCCCTTCGTCAAAGCTAATCATTTCCCTAAGGTAGTAAAATATATTTATAGACCAACCATTTTTAAGGACCGAAAACATCAAAAAAGCATTTCACAGTCAGTCAGTTAAATAATGACCAGATAGAGTAGAACATTTGGAGATAAATGGAGACTGTCACGCAGTACTGAGGTGCTTTCTGGCAATTTATAGCTTATGTAAGAAAAAGGGTAGGCTTCCTCGGGGGATTATCTCGACTCTTCAAACCCTCTCATCTTAAAGCAGCTTCTGATTGGCAACAATGGCCCTATAAAGTGATCTAATTTCCCCAAGCTTTTATTTGCCTCTCCAGTTCTCAGCCTGTTCCATAGGACAAGCTGTCCAAAGGCTATCAACAAAGGAAGTTTGAAGTCATACTGCAATCTGCTGTTTCGAGTTTACTGCTTTTCTAGCAATACTCTATTATCTCAACTTTAACAGCTTTGTCTTCCTAGACTTTAGAGACATATGTCCCCAGCAATGAGTCGAAAATCTTCCCTATTGGCTCGCTGTATACCTGGACACACCACCAGGCCCTTTACCCTGGTGGTAAAGGGTTATGATGAGAAGCTGGGGAATTGCCTGAAATTAGAAATGAATAAAACCTCCATTTCTGCTCACCTGCTTGTTTGTCTTAGCAAAGTTGATCCCAACACCCTGCACCATGGGCCCTGTGAAGCCTACTGGGCAGGCATCACATCTGTAGCCTGGAGCCAAGTTCACACATCGCACACCTGGATAGCAGGGATGGTATTTGCACTGGGGAAAGAAAACACTCAATCTTTAGTTCCATGAGGAAAATAACTTGGGACTTTACATAGTCTATTTGTACATGCTTATTTATTCCTTTATATTCTGGGGAGAAAGCCGTGACAAATGGAAATTAAAAATTTCAATTTCATAGATATGTGTTGAATCCCCCATTTACTCAGTGTGAGTTCCCCTGTTTACTATGTCACAAACAGTGCTCTGTCAATATCAAAATAGTCTTTAACCAGTCTGCCTTCAGGTGTTACAAGCCCCCAGCATTCCAACAATTCCCTGTGAAAGTCCTGTGTCCCTGCACCAGTTGTCAGGGGATTTTCAAATGATGCCTAGCACATCTCAGACCCTTTCATGGGAAGACCTTGGGTGAACTGAGGCAGGGCAGGATTTTCTACAGCTGGACAGCATCCTTCAGGGATGGCCTGTTTCTCTGCCCTGTCCAGTCCAAAGCTACCTAAAAGATGCAGCCCACAAGATGGGCTCTGGTGACTATTTTTTAAACTAATGTAAAAAACATGAGCATTTCCTGCCCTTTCAAGAAGGAGGAAAATTCCAGCTCACAGATAAAAACCAGATACAGTCCTGTGGAACATGTGCGGTACTAGTTCTCCAACTCAGGGATTCCTAGAGACCAGCCTAACTTCATACTACTTGGATGCAGGTAGTCATCCGAGCTGACACTAGCCTGCAGAGCCCACATGAGAGGTGTCTCCCCTCAACGTCTCTATCCAGCCTTCTTCTTGATGGTGCAGGGAAAGGCATATTTTGGGACAGCTTTGCTACCAGCTATGGACACTGTTACAAGACCAGACTCAGGACTGGATGATGGTCCTGCTGGTTTCCTTCTAAAACTCTGCCTGTACTTCCTGCATGCTCTCTTGGCTTCATCGGTGGGTGCTTGGGCTACTCTCAAGTCTCCCTAACAGATCTTCTTGGTGTGAGATTCCTCTGCTCTTTTATTTTAAGAAACCCAAAGAAAGCTACCACACTTCTGGAACAAGGACTCTTATACTGACCCTTATTCCCCACATGAGCAAATTTCTAATAGAGATTGATTCAGAGAAATAAGAAATGCAGATGTTGGAGTGGGAAGTAGAAACTACAACAATGCAGCAAAGTGGTCAATTAAACAAGCCTGGAACACAGCAAAAAGTAATGACCATGTGTGCTGTGCCTTCTTGCTGCCACTCCCTGTATCTCAGGGACCCCAAGCATCCATAAAGAAGCAGTTCTTTGGAGCTAGAGGACAACTCCGGGGGCCCTAATCCACAGTATAGCTTCTTGTTCCAGAGTGGCAAGGAAGAGACATGGAGAGCCCCACGCTGTCCAACTGAGCAGTACCTCATCCACATCAGAGCAAGTGATTCCATTCCCTGTGTAGCCATCTGGGCAGGGTCCACACTGGAAGCCATCCCTGGTGTCTGTGCATCGGACACCTCGGAAGCAGGGGCTGGAATCACACCGGCGTGTTGGGCGAGTTGGGCGAGTTGGGGGTGCTGGAGGAGCTATGGGCACCAGTGTGTTTGGGGTTGGGGACTGAAAGCTGAGGGGACCTGGAAAACAAGACCAGTTCGATCCACAGGTTTAGTAATTCATGTGGAATATGTAGGACACAAAATGAAATTTGGCTTTCTCATGAATGTTCCCCTGCTTCCCGCCAATTCTTGTGCAGAACGACTAGAAGCCACAGTTGTGTGGCTTCACTTCAGATCCTCGGTTAGTCTGAACTGCCCCACCCAAAATGAGCCGGCCAGCACAAAAGCACTTACCACAAGCCTGGCATTCAGCAATAGTGTTTCGCAAAAATGATGTTTCCTTGACCTTTAGAAACAGAAGGAAAAGATTGCAAAGGAATAGTTGATATAAACCAAAAATGAGAGCATCCTTCTATGACTGTCCAAGAAAGGTTTCCACAGCACTCAAGGAGCCTGCCCCCCACCCCCTACCTTGGGCTCATGGGCTATGTGGAGCTATGTGAGGCATGGCTCTGGGCTAAGTCCCTTCCTGCTTGTGCGGTCTGCCATTCCACCCACCAGCACAAAAAGTCACTGTCATAGTGCTCAGGCTTAACTAGTGATGGCCTCTGTTTCTCACCTGTTGCCTTAGAAGATCCTTCACCTCTCCAAGGAGTTGGTTTAATTGTGTCATTTGGCCCAAGAACTGTCGATTGAAGTCTCCTGTAGGAATAGCCAAAGGTAAGAAATATTCAGCCAGGGTCACTTGGTTCTGCAGGACTAGGGATCAAAGGCCTGGCATGTGAGTGCAAGCACTCACTCTACACTAAGTTACATCCCTAGTCCATGGCTTTTCTGAGTCAGGGTCTTACTTTACAGGCCAGGCTGGTATCAAACTGGTATATCCTCCTGCCTTGGGCTCTTGAATGCTGGGGAATACAGGCATACATACCCTGGTTGATGATAGTCATTTCTAAGTGATTCAAAATGAAATTGACTCCCTAGACAATCATTGTTATTAGGTTATTAAACACTTAGGGTATCTGAATTCAATCTAGGGTAATCTAATTCATTTAACAAAATAATGCGACTGATGCTGCTGGTTGGTTGGTCCAAATTTGTGAGTTATGAAAATAAAAGGGCAGTGAAAAGATTCCTTGACCTGGACTTTGTTCAAGAGCCTGATTTGCACAGATGCATCCCCTGGGGCCACTGTCCTGCAGGCACATATCTGGGTTAGGGGGCCCAGCCCCTCTAGGGGCCTTGACTTGTGTCTGTATTTATGAGCATGCACCCACTGCTAGGAGCCCACACCTGTGTTAGTGGCAGCCAGTGGCTCACTCTGCTGCAGGAAACAGTCTTGTAAGCTGGCCACCTGGAACAGCGAGCCCCGCACCACCAGCTTCAGCTCTTCCAAGAAGTCCTGGGGGGGGGAGGAGGAGGAGCAGCAGCAGAAGGAGGAAGAAGAAGAAGAAGAAGAAGAAGAAGAAGAAGAAGAAGAAGAAGAAGAAGAAGAAGAAGAAGAAGAAGAAGAAGAAGAAGAAGAAGAAGAAGAAGAAGAAGAAGAACCAATTGCATGCATACTGTCACTGTTCAAAATCCAGTGTGCTTGCAGAACCACACTTTGCATAACCAAGTAGACCCGTGTGCTTGGACACAGGCACTTACATAATTTCTGTAGATTCATATTTGTCCTTAAGCCCATGTGCCCCACCTTTTGGACAGAAGCAAATGTGAAAGTAGCCAGTTGCCTAGGAAAACATTGGCATATGAAAGGGTGTTTTTCCATCACAGTATACATGCTATCCTGTGGCAAGAACCTCTCAAGGAGTGCCTGGAATTTGCTTATGGAGTTTAGATTATGATAAAATAACAATTCAGTTTAAAGCAGTGTTGTTAGGGTGTCTTGGTTCCACGTTGTCACAATAAGCTTCTGACTTTCTTGGGCCACAGGAAGAGTAATGTTATAGTCTGTGATCATCAGGTACTTGTCACCATTCCTTTCTCTGGTCTCTCCTTGTTGATCACAAAGCCAGTCTCCTGACTCTTTCCCCTTGTACTATTGATATGATGTGACTATGACAGAAAGTTCATGTTAGCTGCTAATGTGATGTGATCATTGTTATGTTGGAAATAAAACATTTGCAGAGGATTTCTGGTTTTAAATTTTGTCAAGATTTATTCAGCCCAGTAACAAGTACTGAAATGGATGTCAGACTGTGTGAGAGGCAGGACTCAGGTTCTGATTTCTATGGTATTCTAAATGTCTGCAACAAGTCAATTTGTTGATTAACTGAGTATTATGTGGCCATGAAGACCAAGGCTCTAAGGATCCTGGGAGAATCTTAAGGCAGAACTTTTGAGAAAATTCTGAGTATAGTTTGTGATGGCCTTTGGTGGCTGAATCCTGACTTTCAGCAACTAATTTGATTATAGACACTGATTTCTAAAATGATCAGTGGCAGAACTTTTTGACTGTCATTCACTTTTGGGTGATTTGGGGGCCTTAGAAGTGAAAAATCATATCTTTCTTGTCATTAATTGCCTTGTCTATATAAATTAAAGATTTTCTTTCGAAGTTCCTAAAAATCCAAACAAAACCCAAATACCCTGTAGATTTCAACACTTTTGGGAATTTCTGCTTAGCAATGCTTCCTGATACGCATGGACAGAGTTCTAGGGTTAGTTTTAGAGTTTTTCACATCACCATGTAAAATGTTAGCACAGTCCTACTAGCAACAGAAACCACTGTTTACTTCCTGCCTCTTTGTAGGGTGGGCATAGACAGCTTGTGACTAAAGCACATACAATGAAATAAGCAAATAGAAATGGAAAGTGAGCATGGAGGCTCAGGAGACCACAACATTGTGGTCAAACAGATGAATCTCATCACTGGTGTTGGTGCTCCTTTCTCTACCAGATAAAACTCAAGAACTGTGACCAGATATAAACGATCACAAAGGACAACCACCACCACCAATTCTTTAAAGGAATCAAAGCATCTCACAGAAAACAAAACAAAACAAAACACAGAAAAGATTTTCTATAGCAGGTTCAGTGATAGGACAATTAGAAACTCCCACAGACATGGCATAAAACCGAAGGCAGAGTTGATGGGATTTTTTTGAGACTTCATTGAGCCGAGCCATCAATAAGCTCATCTTTGTTAGCAAATGGTTTGCCAATATCTATGGGAGAAAGACGTGGCTTCTTTGTGCTTGGCAGTTTTCAACCATTCTTTGTTATTTGCAAATAAATGGTAACTTCAAAAAAGGAATGAAAATACACAGTCCTATTTGACAAAGATAATATACTTAATTTTAGCTACTCCTTTAAAACTTTGCAATGGTTTGAACAGTCAACTCTAAAGAACCTACTTATTCCATCAGAAACAGAAGTTCTCAATTTTGACTTCCTATTAAATATGAGTTTTAAAAAATACTGCTGCCTAGGCAACAGAGCTTCAGATTCTGATTATCCGTCTTGGGGGAGGGGGCTATGTAGCCAATGCTTTACAATTCACCAAGTGACTCTCATACATAGCCCTGGACCAACAATGGCTAGCTGACACATCTTTCTTACCATAGGCCTTACTACCTGGGCCCCGCAATCCCACTCTCCACCTTGGAGAACTGTTTGTGTGCTCATACCTGTGGCTTCCTCTGGAACGTCCTCAGTTCAATGGACCCTGGGTTCTGGGTAAGGCCGGAAAATGCTCCAGGGAGGTTGTGTGCTGAATCCACCTGGGCACAGTCCACGTACAGTTCTATGGACCCGGTCCCTCTCTGCAAATTGCTCAGTCTCAGGAGAATCCTGTGGCGCCTCCCATCAGCCAACTGCAAGTTGTTGAAAACCACCAAATGGATCTTCCCATCATTCTTCAGGTAACGGAGGATGGCTGGGACCAAAAGCAGAGCAAAGAGGTGATGAGAGGAAGAGAGGAGTAAGTCACCTTCAGGTCACAGGGCTGGGCCCCTGGAAATAATGTAGGCTGTAACCACAAATATTGATTTACCATCTTTTGTGTGCCAGGTACTGTCCTTGGCATGATGCAGTACCTTCCTCCTGGGGATGTTATGTGAGGATGGAAAAACATAAGGATGCTAGCAAATCCAGAAATAAACACTGCAACTTCAATGAATAGGCAGAGCCTTCCCCATCAGAAAGTCAGATAAAATTCACGAACATTCCTAAAGGCATACATCCATTAACTCACCAAGCACTAGCACCCCTGAGCACTTCAGGACAGTGAGTGCTGCTCTCAGTTGCTTTAATTTCATTGGGCAACTCTATGAAACTAGAGTAAGCACTGGGGCAGCAAGCAGAGCTTAGACAAGTGAAGGAGCTTGCTCAGGTCATTGTAAGTGGCAGGATTGAAATCAGAGCCCCTGTGTGATGTGTTACAGGGCACGTCCAGGGCTTTGTAAGCATATTTCACATCACATTTTAGACCCATCCTCAGTAACTCACCCTTAACAGTCTAGAAAACAGAAGCTTATGGCCATAACCTTATTTTCTGTTCTCCCCAATGCAAGGCTATCTATCTTGCTATGCACTAACTCAAGACCCAGGGAATTAAAATTTTCTGGCTTTCAGCTTTGCTTTTTTATTCCACTGTTGTCCTGAATATGTTAGGACTTGAGCTAAAATCTGGTCCTGAAAGTCAACCTTTTGTGAGAGGAACTTGCTGGCTGAATTTTGCTACAAAGACTAAAATGATTTGTTTCCAAGGTCTTGACGAGCCTGCCAAGACACTTTCAGGTGTGAACACACACACACACACACACACACACACACACACAGAGAGAGAGAGAGAGAGAGAGAGAGAGAGAGAGAGAGAGAGCTAAAATTAAATTGGAATGTTCATTTCAGGGCCACAGAGATGGCCCAGTGGATTTACATCCTTGTTGCCAACACTGATGATTCACATGGCCAAAGTCAAGAAGCAACCGTCGAAACTTCTCCACTTTGATGAGCCCAGCTGATGTACATGCGTGTGCACACACTAAATGTTGAAATGTAGTAAAATTGTTCAATAATGTACTCTGCACAGCATGTACATCTGAGAATGATGGGCTCCTTAAATTAAAGCATAGTCATAAATCATAACACAGGTCCCTGTGAAGTAGTTCCAGGGCTGGGCAGGCAGGTCAGTGGTTAGGGTCACCCAGTTTGGGTTCCCAGCACCTCTCTGTAACTCTAGTTCCAGTGCTCACTGCTCTCTTCTGGACTTTGTGGACACCAGGCAGGCATATGGTACACATCCATACAGATAAACACTCATTCAAAACAAATAAAAATAATCTTTGTAGAAAAAAAAACAGTTTTATACAAAAAGAATATAAAGACATCCTTGGTATTTTATTGAATGAAAAGCAAAAGGAAGTTGTAAGTATATAATCTTCCTGAAAAGTATATATATATATATATATTTTTTTTTTTTCTTCAAGTGCCTCTTCAGCAGCCTGGAAATGCCAACTTAGAGCTGTCACACATGCCAGCTAGCCCATGAGCTATTATGTTGCAATGTTACCAAAGAAAATGGTATATTTTTAAGGGTTTGGTCACATTTCACTCCTAAATAGGAAGTTCAACTTCTTACTTCCTCCCCACTCTGCTAGCTCTGCCTTTCCATTTGACAACCTCATGGGGAGAGGGACAGAGCTGGCATCTTGTTCTGTGACATACAGATGTTGAGGCGGGGTGGATGAGTGGGGCCTGACAGAGCTTTTCTTACATCTATGTGGTCACCACTGTGTGCTTCCTGTCGGAGAGGAACTTGTAAGATCTGGGACCATCTATGGTAGCACAGTGCTAAGTTTCCTGAAGTATTGATAAGACTTAATAAAAATAACAAATGGCATGAAAAGGCTAAGATGATGACTGCACATGAGGAGAATCCCCGGCCTCCCCGTCTCTTTACCATCTCTCTCCATCTTCCCGAGTTTGGGGATTATAGGTGTTGAGTCACTTTCTCCTGAGAAGAGAATGAGGATTGACTTCTAATCTTGGATGCAACAAAATCTTTACCTTTTTACTTACTATTCACTGAATCACAAATTAATTTAAAATAATGGCTCCATGGCTGGGAGTTGGAGAAATATACAGTAACTAAGAGAGGAAGAAATTAGGAGCAAACACAAGCACCACTTCATTTTTTTAAACTTCAATTACTTCACTACTTAAACCAGTTTGCAAATACCTGGTGTTTTACAAGCCAATAAAAATACCATTTGTCTATTAAACTTGAATTAGGTCATACACACTTCCAGCCAACACGCCATTATTCTAGTTAGAGCCACTACTTCTCCCTGTATTAAAGGTTTAAGAAGACAGACATGCATTTAAGACACAGAGTCTTTGAAACAAATACTCTTGATTTTCCTCCCCATACTAAGATTTCTGTGGATTTCAAAGGAAAAAGTGTTTAGGCACACTGCCACTTTTAACAGATCTCTGCAGATCTGGTTTATTTTCACAACTGAATAGCTGAGATGAGTCTTATAAACAGCACCCAGTGGGGTAAATGCCGTGAGTAGGACCTTTCAGAGAACAATTAAATGACTTCATTTAAAGCTTTCCACATTAATAAAAGCTGACAGAGTGGCATGTCCGGGTCCTGGCCCAAAGCAAGCCCTGCCTGTGTGCTCAGACCCTCCTGAACGGGTGCTGTATTTCTACCTTGCATTTGTGCCTACACAACTGTCTCCCAAGTGACATATTCCCTCAAGGGCCTAGGACTTGTGATGAAGGGGGAGAGGAGGGTGTGTGTGTGTGTGTGTGTGTGTGTGTGTGTGTGTGTGTGTGTGTGTGTTGAAACTTTCATTGGCTGTTAGAAAAATTATCGCAAGCCTTGACATTTACTGTTCTTCATCCTTGATCCAATAATTTTAGTTTCTCTTATGGCTTTAATTTTTCATTTTTCCTCTTTTATGGCATATTCCTTACTTCACTACCTCTGTACTTTTATATCATATTCTCTGAGCCCTTAGCCCACCCCAGAAGGCAGTCAGGGGCCTGCTGGGAAAATCGACATGTCCTCATCAGTCACAGACACTCAGAGGCCATGAGTTTTGTTCCTGGAGAACCTGCAGCCCCTGGGTGGTGCCTCCTGACACCACCCAGAGGCAGAGAACACACAAGCTCCCTCTTTTCAGGGCTCCCAGCATCCGGAAGCCAGCCCCTGACCCTGGAACACCACACCTCTGCCAGGTCATCACTCTGGGGAAAGTTCTCTGGGTAGGTTCTGTTTCTCCAGCTGTAGTTCCATTTGTTCCCAGGCTCAGCAAGCCAGCTTGGTGTTCTGCTGATCTTGTGGCCTGATGCAAAGGGCAGGGCCAGGCTGGCTTGGAAGGATGCTGGCATATGCCCCTGTGGAAGGTGGCCTCTGCCTCTATCCACTGTTTTTCTGAGTTCCTCTCTTAAACCCCTGGCTCAGCCTTTCATCAATGGTCCTTTTTGTAGTTTTGGGACTGGAAGCCTGAGTTTTCTTTAGGGTTGCTCTGTCCAGTTCTTTCTTGTTGGAATGTTTAATAGTTTGGGTTCACTTGTATTTGTATGAAGGTTTGCACAGATGTACACTGTGTGCACTACATTTGTGTGCACAGAAGGCAGAGGTCAGAACAGGGTGTCAGATTTCCTCGAACTTGAGGAACTTGAGCTAGGGACAGTTGTGAGCTGCTTGTTGGATGTTGAGAATGGAATCCAGGTCCTCTATGAGAACAAGTGCTCTTAGCCTCTGAACCATCTCTCCAGTCCAGTTCTTGACTTTTTAAAACAAGCACAGTGATGAGCAGATGAACTTCTCCAATAGTTCCCTAGTAGTTTCTCTTTCTTTGTTTCTTTTTTCTTTTCTGTTTTTCGAAACAAGGTTTCTCTGTGTAGCTTTGGAGTCTGTCCTGGAACTCACTCTGTAGATCAGGCTGGTCTCAAACTCACAGAGATCCACCTGCATTTGCCTCCACCCAGTGTGCACTACCACCGCCCGGCTCCCCAGTGGTTTCTGATTAATTCTAAACTTCTTGTCCCAGGACAGGCCCTTGCCTGACCATCACCTTAATTTCTTTCCACCTTAATTTCTTCTTCATGTTCTTCAAATCTGAAAGGAACACAGCTGTTTGTTGTTGTCAGCCACAATCATACCTTTTTAGAAAATGTGGAGGGCTTTGCTTCCTAAGCTTAGCCCTTTGTGTCCTTCACAGTCTGGGGCCTGATCTGATGGCACAGAGCAACATTTGCTTGCCTGTGTACTAGGTGACACAGCACCCAAACTGCCGAACCTGATTAGATGCCATTTCGGTGGCTTTTAAGGAAAACAAAACCACCGAACCAAACCTAAGCTAGAGGATGTGAATGAAGTTCTGCTACACTGGGAAGGAATATTCAAAACATTGCTTTTGAAGAAATGGACCTTGTAGTTAAAAAAAAAATGTTACAGCGAACTGACTTTTAAAGTAATGAGGTAGGGTACCAGCTTTCAAAACCTAGAAATGATAGAATTTGTGGGCTCTGGTAGAGTTGTTGAGAGTAGCCTGGCCTTCAGGAGCTCAGGGAGGTGGCATAATGACAATTGGCTTTACTCTTCAATATTTAAAATCCCGGATGAAAACCTTCATTGTCAACTTGGGTCATCTTTTAAAGTCATTATACACTTTAAAAATGTATTGTTGCTATCAATGTCCTCCATGGTAGAACTCTTGTTTATCTTTGCTGATTTATTTTCATGGGGTATGTACTAGGTCATGGTAACTTTTATACATTGGCATTCAATAAAAGGAAATCACCAAGTAGCTTTTTCCTAATATTCTCTGGGTGACCATGGTTAATGTAGCCCTACTTCAAAAAGTTTTCACATATGTAAGGCTTACAGAGGATGGGTGAAGAGAGAATCTGGAGAAC